GCTTTTCTTGCTTGGCAGCTCACTCATAAAGCTCCTCTTCACCATGTAACAATAAACATTTGTTGTTCATCTGAACTGCAAATGAACAGGAAGGTACTGCTGGTCTCACTCCCCTAGGAACTGGTATGCAGAAGGTCAACTGTGTTGAAGCAGTCATGGGAAAGGCATGACAGCTTCATCACAGAATCTGTCAGATGTCTGTAAAGCTTGGATTTGGGTTGAGGTTACAAAGTTAGATCTGGTAAAGATGGACGTTTACATGGTATTACAATAAAGCCAATACCTGACTGAAAGAATCAACCATCATCATCATCCTGAGATAAGACTGTAAAGGTCTTGTTGAGGGAATTAGTCAATGAAAGGGAAATCTCAGGTGTATTCTACACAGTCCAAACTGCTGAGAATGAAACACATTTGATGATCTGGTTGTCCGGAATATGATGTAGAAGATGCATGTTATTTTCCTTTTCATTTTTGTTAAATATATGGATGACCATGGAACACTGTTCAGCAATGCACTCATGCAATATTAGACTAGCTCAGGTACAGTAAGTATAGCGAACAGTGTATTCACAACAGTTCCCACAAACTGCAGAGGAAACTAACCTTGGTCAAGTGAACTGTCTGAAAACTGTGGTAGTTCTCACTAGAATTCAACACTACCTATTTACTTACAAAGGAATTAATGACAGCAATTGTCTCTGGACATGTACACTCATTCTATATGCTGACCAATGAAAACCAGCCTATTTCTCATTTAGAAGCTTTAAGAAAGACTTTTAAGATGACAAAATGGAAACAGGAATTCATATCTTTTAAATCTTACTATTTAGTGCACTTTTAAGCAGTGTGGGTGTGGAAGAATAGAAACAGCAATCATCTGATGAACAGCTGCCATTGATGCTAAGAGCCCCACTGAAACCTGTATTAAATTGAAATATTGGAGATCTTTCTTATTAAAAATCCCTCTGTGCTTTTTTGGACAGCCTGTATACTTGGCAACTGTGTCTGTGCAATATTTATTAGTGATCATCATCAATGAATTTGTAGTTCAGTAATCAATTTGTCTAGCCAGTACTAATGCAATAGCCATAATGCCTCTGATTACACTCTTCTTACAGCATCTGATAAAGTTTTAAAAGAGAGTATTTACTAAAAAGTGGCTTCTTTTCCCTTTCTTTTGCTTTTAGAAATTTTTTTTTAAAAGTATATAAAGGAAAAGACAAGTCAGGAAGAATTAATATAGCTTGAGATATTGGATCCACAGGTTTGTAGTAAAAATTATGTAACAAGACTGTAGGGCTTCTTACTCCATAGGGCTTAGCTTTAACTTACCAATACAAAAATTCATTGCCCTTCTGCAAATACAGAAGCAATGTCTTTTTGACATCACTATCTATTTTCACAAGTTAATTTCTCAGCTAACTTTCATCCCAAGCTTACAAAACTCTTTCTCAGATCTTCAAGTTTTCCCATTTTTTCCCCATAGATATAATCTTGACAATGTAAAGATCATGGTTTAAAGAGGGAAAGTCAATAAAATATATGGCCATTTTGCTTTACCCTTCCGGGACAAAAAGAAACTGTGTCTCAGCAGTGAGAAAAATCTCCTAATTCTTCTGCAGACTCTTCATTCCTCTCCTTTTTACCACAGAGTAAAAATGCATGGACTTTAAGGAAGTAGCAGAAAGCCCTGCTAAATTTCCATTTTCTCTCCCTCCCCTCATTTCTTTCCTCCCTATTTCATTTTATAGCCCAGAAAACCCAATATTTGTTGTCTGATCTCAATTCCTGGTGTGACTTTGGTCTTACAGTGAAATCTCTGGCAGGCCTGTTGGGAAGAGAAGAAGGATTTGGCAGTAGAAGAGATGTGTTCATTAAGAAGTCTTGTCTCAGAGAAAGATGCTGCCCTGGGATGTGCAGCCACACTGAACGTGCTGTAGCTGAGTGTGAGCAGAAGCCTGGAACTTAGTATCTACCCTTTTATCAGACTTCAGAACCACACATATTCTAATGTCTAACTCATTTCCATAGCAAGGTCTTGGGGTGTGAGACTGTAAGTATAGCTTACAAGTATTAAGGCACCAAAACGGTCCCTTATTAGAATTAAAATGGCTCACTTGATTATCTACATAAAATGGAGCTCATCAATGACTGCAAACAAGTTAACTTTCATGCACTGCACTAAACTTCAGCAAGCTTCTAGAACTGTTCAACATACTCTGGATTGGCACTATTTTAAAGTATACACATCATATACGAAAATTAAGAGCAATGGATGTTTATAGGCTCTGAACACATGAACTTCTCTTCCTAAACTCGCTAGTGAATTTGATACAGGGCCAGCGTGCTGGAGTTGTCACCCATGCATGTTACTCCTGTCTCATCCAGACCTGCAGTATGACAGTTGGCAAGTCCCAACCATTTACTGCCTCCATCTCACACACCAACAGCTCCAGAAAGCTGTAAGCATTTTGAATGACTGGAGAGCTATCCAGACTTTCAGGGTGAATTTAATTTTTACTACAAAATTATGATAAACAAATGCCATAATATTGATATAGCCATGAACCACCATGATTGGGTATAATACCACCATTTAGGTATAATATCTAAACATTTGGGGATAAAAGGAAGTATTCACAACCAGTTCAGAGGGATTTGGCAAAATAACTTCCAAGAAACTTTTACAAAATTTCTAAGACAAAGTCATTTGTGAATCAGAATTTGTGACAGAGATACTGAAGTCATGCACGTTTCCTTTTGTGTTTACAACTTCCCTGTCCATCACAGCTTCAACTCAACTACAGCTCCCTCTCCATCCGTGCAGTTTACATGTCTGTTAAGATAACAACCACCTTCTATAAATAAATGCTGGCAAGGTTGATATTTACTGCATGTGTGGCTGGATACTTCTGGCAAGCATTTTTTGATATGCTGCACAGGTTAGTAAATTCCCTTTAAAAAAATCTACTAGTCACATCTGCAGTTTGAATGTTTCTTTCTAAAAGACAAACCAAGGCCAAGCAAGACAAAGAATCTGCTGATACACACATGTCACTCCAAAAATTCTCCTGACAAAGTTCCCACACCCAATTTAATTACTTCCCTACTGTAAAAACACTTTCCATCTGCATTTATTGTAATAGTTTCAAATCCAAAACCAACAGACTATAAAGCTAGCTAAATAAATGAATGATATTGGCCTTAGGTCCCAAGCCAGGAGCTATTCTGTAAGGCTGTGTGTCTCCAGCATTCATTTTTATGCTGATGTTTCATTTTATGCGCAATGTTTTCACTTAAGCCTTGTTTAGAGAAGAATTACCTTGCTCCAGGCTTTAAAGTTTTATGTGCTGTGCGATGCCCTCTAGTGCCGCTCCAGCCAAAGGTCTATCAGAGATTCCCCTGCAAGACCAAAGACGCCTTGCGAATCGAGACCTGACCAAAAAACCCTGCTTCAGGCTGTATCACAGCACTGCACACGCTCAGGGCAGGAATTCATTCCAACTGTATCAGATATATCCTCAAATTGAGGTCGTGGAACTCAAAATGGAAAACATTTCTGTTTGAAAAAGCACCTTCAAAAAATGAAACTATCAGATTTAGCCTCCAGACTGACTATATGTAACATGGGTTCCCTTTTGCACTTGCAAGAAAAGAAGTATCCTGTTCTTCAGACTTGGTACGAAGAATCTAACTACAGCTTATAATAAATGGCCTGATGTGAAGAGGAAATAACAGGACTTTGTATTCTGGGTCTTCAGGTTTGTTGCAATATCATACTCTAATTAAACGACATCAGACTATGGACTTCTTTCTATTTTTAAAGAACTGAGATATAATAGTCTCATTTGAACAAATAAGACGCTTAAAACTATGCGCATGTTCTTTGCTAAACTGGGATTCTCCATGCCATCAAAGTACTTGGAAAGAGCTTGATCTTTATAATGAATTTTAGTCCAAAGCAGCAGTGCAACAGATACATGTTTCATTTAGAAGTTATTAAACAAGGACTGAAGCGCAAAACATCCCTCCACTGAAGTCCAGGGCAAAATTGCTACTAACTTGACTGGAAGCATACTTGAATTTTGTACTCCCTTACGCACACTCAGTTCTTACCAAACTAAATGAAAGAATGTATTAATAATTTACATGAGCTCATGAAAGAAATTCAGATGATGTACAGCACAGCTCAAGCCACAGATATTATACTGGCCTTGCATATTACAGGTGACCCCCACAGGATCCTGCAGCAACAGTGGCACAAAGACAGTTAAGGATGGGACTGAGGGGCACACCTTGAATTACTTCACTTTTCTGAGTTTTAATCACAACGTCAGTGTGATGTCATGTTTGTTCTGTGGTTCTCCCCTCACAATTAAAGCTTCTGAGTTTTTGTGAAACTGAAATAGGTCTTCTAAACAGAAGCAAGACAAAGATAGACAAAAACAACCAAAATTTTTGGTGCAAACCACCAAAAATTTAAGAAAATCATTACAAAAGACTATGTTTGAAGTTACTTTCTGTATGGCCTCTTCCCAACTTATGAACACAATGGCATGTTTTTTGTAGGTGAAAACGAAGTTTTGATAAAGATTAATTTTCCCAAAGAAAGACTGTATTTCCCACACTGAAAATAAACTATATTGTCAATGAACTTCAAGAATCGGGTATGCAGTGAAGGGATAAAAGAATAAAGTGAGATTTCATTGCACAGATTTCCCTATGCTGTTTAATAGTTTGTTTTTTTTCAAACTGAGGATGACAATTCAGTGTTAGGGCACCACCTGAACTCAACACCCTAGATGCTAGCCCACATCTTTAACCAGGAGAAGGGAAAAAACCTCTTCCAGAGTGAAACCCACTTAGATTGATCCAAGCCATTCATTCTTTGCAAGACATGTCTCTTGCGCTCTGATGCCACATAGCTGCAGCACAGCTCCGCCTCACACCCCGCCACCGCGCTCCAGTCAGTCGGTGTTTGCCCTCCAGTACTGTACCTGGGATTCTGTGGCTCTGAACCATCTGACTCCGTACACGGTTTCTTTACCTGCAAAAGCAAATGAGTGCCAGTTACTCTCATTTGAAACACAACTTCCTCGCTCATGGTTCACGCACTTACAGCACTTAAAGTGGATCCAGGTCTGCTCACCATGATCTCTATAAAATACTTCCCGCATTTTACAGCAGCAGTATGCACTACTAAACAGTGTGTTTCATTATTATCCCATGAACAGCTGCCAACTGCACTTCCCCAGGCTCCATTAGTATGTAAAATGTTCAGCTAAAATAGCTCGGGAGTAGTCTAACTAGGAACAAAGAAACCAAAGAACCAGGTTCCCCACTTCGAAACGAGAAAGCCATACTGTTCTCAGCTCGGTAAAGAAATGTTTTCCCAATTGATACCGCTTCTGTTTCCTGCTAAAGCTCACAATAATAAACACCAGATTCTGGGGCAGAGCATGGTGTTAGCTAAATAATTCATATGATAATTTTCATTTTGTAAATCTGCTAATTGTATGTCAATTGTATTTTCCTGTCACATCAATGAACATATACACCATTTTCACTCATATTTGTAATATATAATTACATAAAAGCTATTTCAACTTTCAGTTTAATTTTTGCAATACATTGCTGTAGGTTAATTAAAGGTGAAAAAATCCATCACTTTCAAATAAAAATAGAAGACTGTTCTTTTGCAGACTAGGTATCTCCTTGGGATCTTCACGATTTCCTGCAAAAATTTAATTGCACCTTCTGGTGATCTGAATTTCTTGTACTTTCAGCAGAGAAAAAAACATTTTTATTCACTTGTGTGCTAATGCAGAATCCAAGGCTGTGTGGGAGGTTTCAAAACTCCATTTTTAAAGCCACCTAGAAACATCATAGTCACTCTGACTCACTTGATGTGACTGACACAATACAAAGAACATTCCCATTACAACCAGGAGGTATTCAACGACAATTTTGGGAATACCTTGCATCAAGAGATTCTTCTACATTTGTTTAATATTTTAAAAGCATTTCAGAGAGAAAAAATGTGACTGTGACTCACTTCTAGTCATTGGCAAAATACTCCCCAACTTCAACAGAAAAGAGATTAGGCTAATGCTAAGTATTTTCCCTAAACGCTTCAACTGAATGCCATACACCACTCAGACATTTGAGTACAAGCATGGTTCTATAGATGGTCATTTTTATTCTTCATTTGCACCCAGATACTGAAAAAACAATATGATTACATACACGGTTATTCATAGAAATCAGTTTTCAGTAGCAATAATGAAAATTTCCCTATGATGATCATTTAAAACTGTCTTTATTATTGTAGCAGGTGTCATCAGAAACACTAACGGTGGCAAGAAACAAAGGGTCTTCTAATTATGTTTTGCTTGATTTTTACTACAAAACTTTTTTCAACCTATCCATTTATTCAGTTTCATCACCACTAATTTTCCTGCTCTTGGATTCTTCACTGTTCCTACTGTGCTGCTCCATGGACTTGGTAGTCATAGTGTGCCACTGAGAGATGCGATGGTGCAGCAGCTCAGCATGAGAGACAGTGAAGGCTCATGTAAACCCAGAACTCACAGGCATGATTTCATAAACATCCAGATGTAAACATCACTACTATAGGTCTATGTTCACTATGCTGCTATTAAAGTAACATTAGATCTGAAATACAGTAAAATATTTGAGATATAAGCACATGATTGAGTACCAAGAAAAATGCCCACAGTGTGTGTTAATATACAAACCAGAGAAATGTTCCTTCAAAATAGGGTACTGTGTCAATATCACAGGTATCTTTTCAACAAATAAATTCAAAATCATTCAAAGACACTGAAATTGAAACAGCCTTCCCTTGAGAGGAAGTATGTGCTTTCAGAAGCAGATTGTCTCAACCAAGTTACAGAGGGACTTGGCCAGAAAAAGAATCTTTCCATTTAACATATAATATATAATTTAAATTCATTAGAAATATAAAGTATAAAAATATAAAATATAATAGCATAATACAATTAAAATTAATTAAAAATATAAATGCATCCAATTTATTTAAATAGTAGTAAACCTCCTCATTCTTTGTCTCTTCAGCAGATACCCACTTTCAGGCTATTTTTGCTATCTCCTTGCTGTTAATTTACAGATCTCACTCCCCAGGTCAGGAAAGTTAAACCACTGACTGTAACTGGTAGCTGGAGAGTCTGACAGTCACCCAACACATCCCAACACCCTGATTTTGCAAAGTGATGGCAGGTCCTGTGGTGGACAATTACCACAGAAGTCCAGAGATAATTCAAACACACACTAATGCTATCTGAGCACTTTAAGTGTACACAATATATTAAGAGCCATGGTTTTCCTGGGCAGGGATTGAGAAGTGCTTCTTCTTCCTAGCAATACCTAGGTACTCACAGATTAATTGTCCCACCCCTGCCCACACTACTGCTGCATCTTGCATTGACCAACATTACAAAGTAATCGAAATACCTGATTCTGCTTTGCCTGTATAGTTAACATTAAAAAAAAATGCTGACAAATTCTTGTATACCTTAAAAAGGAGTAGCAGAAAAGCCACTGACCAGTTATATCAAAACGACTGACGTCCTGTGAGATGCCACAAAGTTTGGGGGAAAAAGAGTATTTTGTATTCAAGAATACTGCAATGAAAACAAAATATTTTTTAAAATAAAAATATTTTAGGTTTTCAGCTTGGTAAATAGATGATGCAGTTTATCTTTGATTATTCTCTGAGGAAATGTGCAGCATAATCACACAGTATAGACTTGTCTTTTCCTCTGAGACTAAATATAAAGTTCATTGTGTACATTTACGGTCCCTTTTTGAGAGAAAACATTTAATAAATAAAAATGTTATTTCTTAAAGGAGGAACAGGCACGTGATTTTCTTTCAAGTGGCCATAAGTAATGAACATCATTTCTCTTTAAGGCTAGTCAAGTAGCAAAACACATTTTGTTATCCATAAAATTATGCCACCCTAGAAGGTGAACACAAAATCACTGTGAAAACTTTCCATCAAAGACTAAATATCATTTCCTTTGTCTTCAGCTGTACTGTTTTTCCTCTTAATCTGCCTTGCTGACTGTTTTCAAAATAACTACCTTTCACTAACACCACATTTATTTACATTCTCATATGTTAAACGCTATAAAAAGAACCTTTTTCTTTATTCCTGCTCTGTTTCCTTTTTTTTTTTTTTTTCCTGTTTACACAGGTTTTCTCACCATTTTACTTACATCCATGCTGAGAATCATTCATAAGAGTGGTAAGATACCAGTTTCAGTTTACATTTTGTCAAACAGCAGAAATCTCCTACCATGGCTGCGTACTACAAAATGTTAGAAATGTTTCAGCTAAAAATCCTTCAGTCCAAATTTTTTGATAAAACATGCTGTTGTGTTCATATTTTGAAAGTCACATCACTATGATGCTGAGTGACTTTAGTGCCTGCAGGTTTGGAAGCAGAATCCCCAAACTGGAGGTGAGGGGAGTCCAAGGTGTGCCAGTACCCAGGAATCAGCATCTCTGTGAAATGGTGCTTCAGTTTGTGAGCTTCTAAAAGCCCTGTTTCACACCATTAGTGGACTCCTGTTGTAGTCTGGCTCCTGAACTTCTGAATACCCTGTCTGCATTGAATACTCTCCACTTCAAAACTGAGATGGCCTTAAGTAAGATTTAGGATTACTTCTCCTGAGTGCTAGGAGCCCCCCTGACATCAGGAAAGGAACTGACATTAGCAAAACTGTTCCTCTTTGCTATGTCAGTCCCATTTCCCACTGTGCAGATACCCAGGTAATACCCTCAAAAGGAAGAACCCTGTAGACTCAAATATAGGGAGGAACAGGAAAAAACAGGAACAGGGAGACGGAGCAGAAATCAGGGGACCAAAGAAGAATGGGATCTGCAGGGAGCAAAATTAGTGGAGGGCAGAAGCCAGGTCAAAAAAAAACGCTGTAGAGGTAGGAGTTGGGTGTGGACTGTGGAAGAGTACTGGGGCTGGCTGGGATGGGACAGCACAGCACAGTTTGCTCTCCTCTCCTCTAATCAGATTTGGGGCTAACACCACAAACACAAGCCGGAGCATTCATCAGGGATTTGTGAAACTCACTAGTAAAGTCTTTAGTGACCAGTCTGCCCAGAGTAACAGGCTAGTTCTGCTACACTGGCTGCACTGCAGACTTAATTAATGATCCACGCTGGGAAACTATACTTTGAACTTACAAGATGGTGTATGAATGTTATGTTTATCCAGAAAAATTAAGGTCTAATTTGACTTAAACTGGGGAGAAAATAGTCAACATCTTATACAATTTCTGCCTTATTCTCTGCCTTGGTTCATCAGATTACACATGGGAACACTGTTTTAAGTGTCTGAAACTGTGAGGGCACTGTGAAAAAGAGATGCATTTATTAAGAACTGAAGAACTTTGATTAAGATATATGAGAAATATTAACTTGACAAATGATTTTATATTAAGTATGGACTTTTGACATTTCACATTTAACAAATATAGACTGAGGAACTTTAAAAAATATATATAACTACACATTCACTGAAAAAATGAGACATGCCCTGGAAAGCCTAGTATGACATGTAATAAGATCTGCACTACAATGCATAAGAGACTGGATTTCCACAGGCCATATTAATTCTGGCATTTCCTTGCTTCTGATGTTTTCCTTTGCAACATTAACATCCTTTTAACATGATTTTATTGGACCTCATTACACTAGAAGTTAAACCATGAACTGGTCCTGGTCTATGAGGTGTTCTCACACACACACTCGTGGTATTAAACTCGTAATGCAACACAGGTGAGAAATCCCCTCTAACACAATAAGCACAGCTGAAAATCTTGCAACATCAGCAGTAACTTATTCTGGCAATGAATCTGCTGAGGTCCCTCATATACTGCATCAAATACGGCCTTGAGCATCCCTCCCAACTCGTCAGGCATGCAATGGGGCGGAGTAGAGCCTGCGATGCTTTGGGTTCGGAGGAGCAGCTCTTCATGGTGGACT